GTCAAGAGTTGCTCTGGGTACCCTCCAGTTATTTCCTTGCCTGTTTCTTATATCCTTTCTTTTATTTCAGAATGGGAATGTGGAGGCTGCTCAAGCTATTAGAGAAGTTGAAAATGGAGATGATTCACTGTGAATTTTTTCCACTGTTCAAAACCACAATGACTGTATGATAGGTAGGACTTTGGCTTGGTCTTTGAAGCCCCTTGCTCTTTCCATATACGACGATCGCAGTCATTTCATACCGGCTTAAGTTTCTGTTCACTTAGCTTTGGTGATTTCTTCTTTTGTATCATATTGACGGCGAATCTCAGCTGAGTGTACTATAGGTCTCTCTCACATCCATAGAAATTCAACTCCATTTCCCCAATGTATTTTATTTGAACATATCTGAGTTTCAAAGCTAGTCTGGTGTTCATGTAAAATTTGCTTTTGGTTCAAATGATAAATGTGAAATGATTCCTATTAAGGAAAGTGAATGTACTTTTCTGAGACATGATGAAATATTTGGCTTCATGAAATTTAAGAAATGTAGAAAAATAAAAGTTTGGTAGTTGAAATTTAATTAGGAGAAAAAAATTGTCACTCGTGTATTTTTTATTTCTAAATGAAATAGCATTCCTAGAACTAGTCCACTTTCCTATATAGGACTACATTATCTTTCTAACCAAATCTAACTTAAAAAATCTACCTAATTAAGACTAAAAATTGGGGGTAAAACTTTAACATCTAAGTTCAATGTTTCAAAAATATGATCCAACAATAACTTTTAGCATTAACATTTTTAAAATTAATCCAAAACTACTTTTGGCAGATTCTTCCGTGGACCTCAGATCCATGCTAATTTTATACTTCCTCTGTCTCTAAAAATATATCTCCTTTATTTTTTTTCATCCGTCTCAAAAAACATTTCTTATTTATATTAAAAAGTTACTTTTAACTCTTATATTTTCATACTCTACTTATCAACTTTTTTGGAAATTCAATACTAAAATACACTTCTCTTACATCTCTTAAAAATCAATAACTCTCATATTTTTAGTATCGGAGGGAGTAAATCTTTGTGTATTTGTAATATAAAATAATTAGACTTTTAGCAAAGGAGAAAATACCCATATATAGGTTCATAAAACGTGTGAGAAGGTTGATATTTTAAATATAAATTTTAGGACCATGTAAGGATTACTCTTACATATTACCTAAAACAATACCATTAATTACAAACATTATTATATGATCTTAATTTGGTATTAAAAAAAGTGTCACCATAACTTGTCTGCTTAATGATCATCTGCTCTCCCATAGGAACCAGTAAACAACCTTAATAAGCCAAGTGTTTAGAATAAGCTGTGTTTAAAACGAAAAACGCCATTTGCATAAATAAAACAAATAAATTGCGCAGAACGATCTTGCAAAACATACAAAAGAAACCAGTAACCATTGTCTCCAAATCCCCCATTCGTTTTTTTGTTGTTTTTTTTGGGCGTTTTTGAAAATCACTTCATTTTCTCTTCCTTGAAGAGAACATGAGAATTAACACGGGGATCATACTTGCGGAACTCGAGCTTGGTCTGGCTAGTTTGGAGCCTCTTTGTCTTCTTCACCACGTAGAAGAATCCCGTTCCCGCTGTTGAAACCAGCTTCACAAACAATGCACCCGCCTTCTTCTTGTCACCCATTTCTTGGGTTTCAACCTGAGGAAAGACACATTCGCCTTGCACACTTAGATACAAAAATTATCAATCTCAATCTCGCCAAGAGTTTCAGATTTAAATGATATCTAATCCAATTCGACTTCAAAAAGCTTCTTTCCACGAAAGGAGCGATAATAAAAAAAATAGTGAATGAAATTTGTTTTCTTTTTCCTTAAGTTGTTTTTTTTCCTCTCATGAGAAAAATCATTTCCCATATTATTTTCTTTTTCTTCTATTTTCAATTTCTTTGAATTAAACATAGTGTTAAGTTATGATTGATTTGAAGAATTAAAAAATGAAAGAAAACAAAAAAAAAACAATTCTCTCCTCCTTCTCACCAAAATATAAAAAATTGTTTTCTTTTTTTCTTAATTTATTTTTTTTCTTCTCACAACACTTTTCTTTTCCTTCCAACAAAAAAAAACTATTGTCCAATTCCAATTCCATAGTTTGAATTCCATATACCAAACGGAGCCTAAGGTCCCGTTTTGTACATGAAATTCAAACTATAGAATTGGAATTGGGGAATTCAATTCCAAACCTAGTGTTTGGTAGCACAAAAATTATGTGGATTTGGAATTGATAGTGCAAAAAATAAATTGGAATTGGCAGAATTCAATTCTATGGAATTGAATCCCATGGAATTTCAATTCCAATTCCACCCATTCCGTATACCAAACGGACCCTAAAATTGTTAATCAATCATTCCAAAATCTGGAGAACTGACTCATAAAGAACTAAAAAAAGAAGGTTGTATAACTTAGATGAAAAACGAAAATAGACAATTGCACAAAGAAGAGCTGAAGAGAAGAAGAATCAATAGTCGTTCTAACCTGGCAATCTTAAATTAGTGAAATCGGTCTTAGGGTTCTTCCGTAGATCGCTCACAGGCTCTGCGGACATACAAATGATAAGCTCTGTATTTTTTTTCCTCATAAATTAGATTGGGCTCAACTCGGTTTGGGCTTTTAACTTCTAGCCATTTCATCAAACAACATTTTGATAATAGGAACTAGTCAAAAAACCAAATCAAATAAAGTTCAAACTTGTTATTGTAGACCAATAAAGGGGGTAATTTCACAAATGGTACCTAAACTTTAGCTGGAATTTCGAAGTAGTACCTCAACTTCAAATCCTTTCACAAAAATCCCTGAACTTACACAATCCTTTCACTAATGAGCCATTAGCCCGTTTCTAGGTTAACTTCCGGTCATTAGGGCCAAATTCGAATTTTACATATTTTAAAATTTTCAATTTGACCCCATTTCTTCTTTTCTTTTCTTCCACGCCCCGCCGCCGCCGCCCGCCGGTCAAAGTCGCCGGAAAATGAACTTTTTCTGATTCCGGCGGGACCAATGTCATTCTCTTCGTCTTGAGACGAGGATCAATAATATCCAAACCATTTTGTCTAATTTGGCCTGTAACTTCTCGAATCTGAATTTTTCTACTCGAAAAAACCCTAAAATTCGAAATTGGATCCAAAATTGGGGGTTTGCAAATATTCATCAAATCTTGCAATTGAGGGGTCTTTGGAGGTCGCCCGGATGCCACGATCGCATTGGAGTTGGTTCCCGCCGTCAATTTCGCCGGAGTTGGCCGGAAAACGCTCCGACCCGCCGGCGGTTTCCAAATCAATACCACCTCAAACCCTATACTTGATTCCAAACCATTCCATATTATGGAAAAAACGGGAATGAAAAAGACTTTATCTTCAGGTTTTGATCAACCATACTTGCGATAGCAGAAAAACAGCCCAAGTAAGAACAGCTTCGTGGCCAGCAATAAGCATTGTCATCAAGTCATCTCTTAGCTGTCACATAGATTTCATGAAAGAGTGATATGAAGGTAAGAAAAGAATAGGAGCATAAAAATAATTAGACGATTGGTACTGCATCGACGTTGATGCGGAACATTCAAAAACAGCATGACGTTGACCTGGCGGTTTCCGGCGGGTCGGAGCGTTTTCCGGCTAAATCCGGCGAAATTGACGGCGGGAACCAACTCCAATGCGATCGTGGCATCCGGGCGACTTCCAAAGACCCCTCAATTGCAAGATTTGATGAAGATTTGCAAAACCCCCAATTTTGGATCCAATTTCGAATTTTAGGGTTTTTTCGAGTAGAAAAATTCAGATTCGAGAAGTTACAGGCCAAATTAGACAAAATGGTTTGGATATTATTGATCCTCGTCTCAAGACGAAGAGAATGACATTGGTCCCGCCGGAATCGGAAAAAGTTCATTTTCCG